GTTCACGGCCGGGTCTGGAGCTTGGCCTTCGAGGCCCTAGGGGACCGGCTCGGGGGGCTTTTCGAAGCGTGCCTCGAGTCGGGACGGTTCCCGTCGAAATGGAAGACGGGCAGACTGGTCCTTCTGCGGAAGGACGGGCGCCCCGCGGACTCACCCGCGGGCTATCGCCCCATCGTGTTGCTGGACGAAGCGGGCAAGATGCTCGAGAGGATCGTCGCGGCCCGCATCGTCCGGCACCTGACCGAGACGGGTCCCGATCTTTCGGCGGAGCAATACGGCTTCAGAGAGGGTCGCTCGACGATCGACGCGATTCTGCGCGTGCGGGCCCTCTCCGACGAAGCCGTATCCCGGGGCGGGGTGGCGATGGCGTTATCCTTAGATGTAAGGAACGCCTTCAACACCCTGCCCTGGTCGGTGATCGCGGGGGCGCTGGAGTATCACGGCGTCCCCGCATACCTCCGCCGACTGATCGGCTCCTATCTCGAGGGCAGGTCCAGGTGAAGGACCAAGGTGAAACCAATCACAGATTTAGATGATTTTGCTAGAGATGCTAGTAGAAATCATATTTATGATTTTTATAGAGAAACGGATCTGTCTACATTACTCAAGATTCTAAAATCATTGAAAGGAGCTGACTTGTTTAAGGGAGGTATTACTTCGTTGCGGAGAGTTATAAAAGATATTGGCTTTGTTTACAAAAAAGTTAACAAAAGGAAGATTATTATGAACAGAACTGACATTGCCCTAGCACAGAGTTCCCCAAACTTTTTTGTGTCGTAGACCCCTTGCCATGTTTTTCCGTGTTGGGTAGACCCCCTACTTTCCTGATATTGATTTCCTATAAATTTCCAACTGTAGTAAAGTTTAGTGTTATCAGCAATTCTGGCTGCAAAACAACATACCCGTTACTTATCCCGTATTATGGAATATAGCGAGGAAATTTTTAATTTCCTTTCCATCGTCATACCTAGTGGACAAGGGGTTCAGCGCTGTTACCAATCTCCTAACGAAAAAAAGAAACAGACTGGACATCATTAGCCGAGGAGATTTAAGATTAACCCTTACAAAATTTACGCCAAATGTTGATAATTTATTATTAAAGCATCAGGTTCATCCTTCTCACTAAAAATATAGACTTATTGCTTATGTTATTTTATTTATAGTTTATTTTATGTTACGTATATTTTACATAACAGATACAAAATTTTATTTTGAGTACTTTTAATTTAAATTCAATTAATCATCATCATCATTATCCTGCCCTTCTCCCAGTCACCTGGGGTCGGCGCAACATGTTTTCTCCTTCCATACTCTTCTATCATATACCATTTCTTCGCTCACTCCCCTCCTACCCATATCGTCTTTCACACAATCCATCCATTTCTTCTTAGGTCTACCTCTTCCTCTAAATTCAATTAATAAATGTATAAATTAACATGTGCTTTTACTTTAAGTTTTTAACACTAAACTTTACTACAGTTAGAAATTTATAGAAAATCAATATCAGGAAAGTAGGGGGTCTACCCAACACGGAAAAACATGGCAAGGGGTCTACGACACAAAAAAGTTTGGGGAACTCTGTGCTAGGGCAATGTCAGTTCTGTTCATAATAATCTTCCTTTTGTTAACTTTTTTGTAAACAAAGCCAATATCTTTTATAACTCTCCGCAACGAGGTAATACCTCCCTTAAACAAGTCAGCTCCTTTCAATGATTTTAGAATCTTGAGTAATGTAGACAGATCCGTTTCTCTATAAAAATCATAAATATGATTTCTACTAGCATCTCTAGCAAAATCATCTAAATCTGTGATTGGTTTCACCGTGGTCCGTTTTTTGTTGGGTGTTGATAATTTATTTTTACACATCCCTTTCTTGGCCAATTTTCTCACGTGTTATACGCGAAAGAGTATTGCCGCCAATATCAAGAACTTGGGCTACTCGTTTCACAATTCGAAAATATATAGCGAGTTACCCCCGGATCTTCTCAGTGGGTCGCGTTTCCGATCCGGTGGTAGATTCTGCGAAGCACTGCTCTTGTTAAGGCTAGTGTTCGCAAATTAGCCAGGCTGAGCCCCGTGAGCTACTCGCTCGTTGAATCTATTATAACATTTCGAAGTTACTAGAACTAACTTCGAGATCGACATACTGCTATCTTGAAATCCCGCGGTCCAGTTTAATGTGAAGGGTACATCCCCAAATCTCTCTCTCTCTCTCTATCTACCTCCTCCCCCTCTCCCTCACCCCCCCCCCCCTCTCTCTCTCTGGATCTGGTAACTATGAAAGTAATGAATGCAATCATAAACGCTAAAATAATTTCCAAATCGAGTCTGCGACTCGCGAAGACCTAACATATTACTATTATTTAAACAGTTGTCTTAAAACGTGGTCTTTATCATAGTCTATTAATTTATTTGTATTCGAAGTCTTCGAAGTCGGTACACAAACATCTCGCTGTCGCCTGCGGCTTCGTTCACGCCCTTACGTGTCTAGACGAGTATGTCAAATGCACGGTACTATGACCTGGACATCTTTCTTGACATTCAACTTGATATTCTCAAAGCTGAACTAACAACAGTTTCTTATGTTGTATAGCCAAAGATATTTTAGATTAAGTCATATTGCCACCCGTGCAAACAGAAACCACACGAAAAGTCTTAAACAATATTAACATGTCTACAACTAACGGAAATCGATGAAAATACAAAGCGATACAGAAGTAATACAGACAATCGTTCGTTTTTAAATGACGTATTTATTTTAAATAGTTCTCTTTGTGTGATATCGGTAGTCATTTAACGAGCATGTGTCGACTAACGCGTCGCGAAAAATGGATCACGCCGTTTATGAAGCAGGTAAATAAGTCATTATGAACTCAAAGACAAATTCATAAGAGATCTTTTTTTATTGCCCATCTAACGGTAAATGGTTACCGTCGCCCGTGGTCTTCAGCAATGCCAAGCCTCTGCCTACCGTTAAGTACTCTCCACAAGCCTCGTTTAAAGAAGGACATGTCATAACGCTCGGGTAACACCGTAGAGGGGAGCTCATTTCAAAGCCGGATGGTACGTGGCAGAAAAGATCTCTGGAAACGCACTGTGAATGAACGCGGAGGCTCCAGGATGCATGAACTCTACTCCGGTGGCGGGCGGCGTGATGGTAAAAAGATGACTGAATCATCGATCAATGTTAGATAGAGTACTAGGGGTAGCCCTGAGATGAGAGCTGCGACGTTAGAAGACTGGTGACCTTGGAATAAGGATCAAACTGACTTTTTTTTTAAATTGTAAAACAGTTTCGTGGAATAGGCTAGCTTATTACAGAAAACCAATTTTTAACGAAACATAATCTCGAATTACCAATAATTCAATAAATATGTTTGACCTTTGTTTGTCTCCAAATGACGTCATCATGGGCTTTATTCAAACAGATTCTTTAGCCTATATTTTTATGTACCCTGTGTATGACTCAAATTTCAGTTTTGATAAGATCTTAATGTTAACCTCAAATAGTTTTCTAATTTCAACTGAAAGCATAAAGGTAATCATGACTTCAACAGTTAAAGCACTTATTTTTCTATGCGGCGTTTTTGAGAACAATACGACATGTTTTCAGAGATTGTATTTAAGTCATAGAAAAAAATAGAATTTAGAATAGAAATACAAAATGGAAATAGGAAAATTGAATCGGTACCTACCTATTTAATAAACGAATGGGTGACATTCTCATCGCTACAAGGATGAAAGGAATATCATGTCATAGCTGTTTTTTTTTAAGGCAACAGTTTCGCTTACTTCATGCCACTCATAATGTTAGATACAGAGTCCTTGAAAGGCGATAACATTGTCAATGAATTATTTAAAAATAACTACTACAGTGAATATTTAAATACTTCGACCAACAATATTGATCGAAGTTGAAATATAATAAATTTAATTATATTTTGTCAATAATATGAAATAAGTTGTGGAAACCTTTCAGAAAACTTTTGACATTTATACTACACATTTAAAAATAATAATTATTTAGGTAAAGCTACTTATAAATAGAAAATCTGCGTTAGCTCACCGCCGGTTGGCAGAGTTCCCAGAAGGCTGGCAGCATTTCCACGCTGGATAGCAATGCTAATTAATATTAAATTTAATTAAATAAATTTAGTTGTATTTAAGTTATTGTTTTATGTATGTTTATTTATATGTATTTATCATTTTATATTAGTTTTTTTTTAAAGCTGAGTTTAACAGTCATGCTTTAATACCTTTTATATTGTACACTATTCCCCTCTTATACATCGTATTTCTCTCTGCAAATGGTTTGCTGGAAGAAAACTCATGAATTAGTTAAGCTCGCCTTTGTACATAGTATTTAGACATTCCTTAAATCTGTTTTTATTGTATTTTCTTTTTGTGTACAATAAGTATAAATAAAAATAAATAAATAAAATAAGCTTAAATAGTAACATTTTTTTTAAATCAATGCCAATTGTTAACACCGACATTCATATATTTCTATAATAAAAAAAAATATCATTCTATGTTTCTTTCCATGTTCCTCTAATTACTTTATAGTTTGATTTGTGCATATTTAAAAATGTAATGTGCGTATAAGTAACTAGGTATTTTTATTCATTTATTTCTAGTGTTTTGCGGTTTCGAGTGTGGTTTTGAATATGATATCGCATGGCATGACCTCCGGGTACAACGCCTCGCTGTTCTCTGAACTACGGAAGACGCGAGAGATACCTCTCGACGTAGATTCCGAATCCTGGTTAGGTATGTTAAAATTTATTTACCGACAAAGTTTTTAAGCTATTGCATAGCTTTTATCGCGGGCCTTGAGCGCGGCGACCGAATCACGAAATTCCGTAACGAAAAAAACCTTACACCACTCACTCCGCCTACCATGTAGCTCGCGTTCAACACATTCACACGTTGCGCTTGTGTAGTGTTTGTGAATAAGCGCGTGCCGTGACGTCACACTGCATGCGCATCATGAAAATTCTGCCCATCTCTCTCTCGCGCGGTCTAGCTTATGAGTGTGAAGGGGACAGTTAATGTTTTGTTTTTATTAATGTTTAATATAGCGTGGTCTTGTTTTATTATTGTTCTAATATTAAATTATCATTGTCTAATTATAATTGCATAAGTTGTAAAAAAATGCTATGCAATAGCTTTACCGCGGCAGTCCCCGAGTGCCACACGTTTTTTTTGCTTTGGGTTTTAGCACGTTATGCTTTCGCTATGGAGATTGTCCTTATTTGCATTAAGTGAAGTTCATATTTCCTTAGGAACATTGGAGCTCGCTTGCGTGGTTTGAACATTGATATAGTCGTATCGGTTGATACACCTATCATCTTATGCTTTACGACGACTTATAACTAGTCAGGTCATAAGTATTGTCACACAGTAAAAACTTTTCTTTTAGAATGCTGACAACTAAAAAATTTTATTGAATTCGAATTTCGAATTGTTCATGAAAATAAAAATGTATACTTTTAGAATATTACTCATTTTTAAATATGGAGTGGACGGTTAAAGAAGACCGTGTTGCAGTTATTGCGTTGCATCGTTGCGGTTACGCGCCAATTCAAAATTTTAACATACTGAAAAATTTTAATATAACCAAAAGATTCGTTTATCGTACCATCAAACGATACAATGAAGACTCTAGTGTAGATGACAGGTCAAGAAGTGGGCACCCTCGGTCTGTTAGGACTCCAGCAGTGATAAAAGCTGTGAAGGCGCGAATTCAAAGAAATCCCAAACGTAAGCAGAAACTGTTGGCCCTTCAGATGGGGTTAAGCAGAACCACGGTGAAAAGGGTGTTAAATGAAGACTTCGGGCTTCGGGCATATCGAAGAAAAACAGGACATCGTTTGAATGCTCGTCTAATGGACCTGAGACTGAAGAGATGCCGCGCTTTGTTGAAGCGGTACGCGGGAAAAGAATATCGGGAAATTCTTTTTTCGGATGAAAATTTTTTTACCGTAGAAGCTACAACAAACAAAATGATAAGGTGTACGCACACAGTAGTGAAGAAGCGAGCAACCGTATTCCGCGTGTCCAACGAGGTCATTTTCCATCCTCGCTCATGGTATGGTTGGGAGTTTCTTATTGGGGCTTAACAGAGGTACATTTTTGTGAGAAAGGTGTAAAAACGAATGCAGTTGTGTATCAAAATACAGTCCTGACGAACCTTGTGGAACCTGTTTCTCATACCATGTTCAATAACAGGCACTGGGTATTCCAACAAGATTCGGCGCCAGCTCATAGAGCGAAGAGCACACAAGACTGGCTGGCGGCGCGTGAAATCGACTTCATCCGGCACGAAGACTGGCCCTCCTCCAGTCCAGATTTGAATCCGTTAGATTACAAGATATGGCAACACTTGGAGGAAAAGGCGTGCTCAAAGCCTCATCCCAATTTGGAGTCACTCAAGACATCCTTGATTAAGGCAGCCGCCGATATTGACATGGACCTCGTTCGTGCTGCGATAGACGACTGGCCGAGCAGATTGAAGGCCTGTATTCAAAATCACGGAGGTCATTTTGAATAAACTTTAGTGTCATAAGAATCTATGTTTTGTTAAGTTCATTTTGGTATATGAATGGTTACATAATGAATAAACTTGTTTCAATTATTTTACATTAAACATGTGAAAGAATTTATGACCTGACTAGGTATATATTTATGAGTATTGAAAGCTTTCCCAAAAAACCGTTGCTTTTGCTTTTGAATAACTTTGAAAAAAATAGTTTACCAGGTAGCATATTTAAATTTGGCTTAATATACAAAATTCCTTTTTGTTTTAGCATCTCTGATCGGAGTAACACTCTTAGTTGGTTCTGTCGTCAACTCGTTCGTAATGGAAATCATTGGCAGAAAACCAGCAATCCTATTGAGTTCAGTGCTCACCATCTGCGGATGGATATCGTTCAGCTTGGCGTCGTCTTTTCCCGCTTTGTTGATCGGAAAAATATTTCAGGGGATATCCGTTGGGATTGGTGGGAGTGTGGGAAGTATCTTAATCGGAGAATACACTAGTCCTAGATATAGAGGACCTTTTATAGCGGCAGTACCTACCGCGATCTTGGTTGGGATATTGATTTCACATACATTCGGAATGTCTTATGGCTGGCATGATTTATCATCGGTGCTACTATTTTTTTCTTTGCCCGGATTAATTGTGGCAGTATTCTCGCCGGAATCGCCCAGTTTTCTGGTAACAAAAGGACGTTACGATGAATGCAGAAAGGTTTTTCGCTGGTTGAGGGGTACAGATGAGGATAACGAACTCGAAACAATGATTGAAACTGATAAAATCCTTAAGAAAACTAAAAGGGCTTATACAGGTATTACATTGCAGCTAATTCGAATTAAACTGACGTATGTTGTGGCAGCTTTCAAAAAGAGAGAATTCCGTATTCCCGTAATCATTATGACGCACCTAAATGCTATATTAGAATTTTGTGGTTCTATAATGAGCGATATTTACGCTCTAGATGTCCACACAGCTTTCTATGGCACTGACGTTTACATGTTTACAGTAATCACATCACTAGATGTGCTCAGACTTGTAGCGACTGTCTCAGGAATTTACATCACCAGCAGAGTCAAAAGACGTTCAATGATGTTAATATTTGTGTCATTGAATGTAATTGTGAATCTGAGCATAGCTGGGTACATCTACGTTAGACAACGCGGTCTTCTTCCCTTTGACCACGTGGCAATAGGCCTGTTTTTGCATCATTTCCTTTACTTCGTAATTGGAGCTGGGCCTATGCCATTGTCAGTGATAATTTCCGGTGAAATATTCCCTTTAGCAGACAGGGGCTTGTGTTCGATAATTAGTAGAATAACATGCTCCATATACATGTTTGGAGACATCAAATCTGCCCCGTACCTGTTCACGATAGTGGGCGTCGAAGGAGTGTTTGGTTTGTATGGTTTGATTCTTGCATATAGTTTGGTCGTGACTTTAATTTATTTACCGGAAACTAAAGACAGAACTCTTCAAGAAGTCGAAGATGGGTTTAGGGGATACGCTATCGGCGAACGCGAGGAAGCGCTCGAGTTAAAGTGTAAAGAGCTAAAAGATGACGTATGATAGAGATTCGCGGTAAATTAGAATGGGTTTCTGACTATTTTAATTAAATTACTGTATCAGAACTAGACACATTTCAATAAAATTAAATAATATAATTTTAATACTAAAATTGTTTTTGATTGAATCAACATCATAATCTGCTCCATGTACTCAATTCTAATTTTAATGATGTGATCACTAATGGTAACGGTCTTAATTGTCGGCCGAAAGTGATTCACATTTTGGGATCTATGAGCACCTACCCACAGTTGTACGAAAAGTAAGCCTTGGCGAGATAACAAATATGGACATATTGCATTTATTACTCTCTAATTTCTTGTCCTTGTATCTTTTTAACATTAATTAAAAATTCATTTGGATGTGTATTTTGTTATTATCCCTCAATAAATACATAAATATATGAGAAATAGTACGTTGCAAAGTATCTGCACGAATTTTTTTTACTACCGACTAAATTATATGGCGTTCATCTATCTTGATTTATGGAATCATCTGGTAATGTGTGGCCATTGATCATTATGGATAACCAATTAGAGTTTTCAAGCGTCATTCGCGTCGTTCACACAACAATGGCATGTCATAGTACTCATGAGATACTGTGTGTGGAGTTCACTACAGAGGAAAATGGCACGAAGCAAAAGATCTTTGGAAACCGACAGAACCCTCGGGTGATTGATGGTAAAATAGAGATAATGAGATCATCTGGAACTATTCCCAAGAACACTTCATTTGAAAGATATGGTACTAAACACAGAGAGAACTGAAGTCCATCCGCAGACCCAAATGCTCCATGTGAACCGTGATATTGCGGTTACAGGTTACAGTCCGAACTCAACTTGGTACAAAAATAACCGGCTCTGGCTCTCACCTGGTGTTAATTGGTTACCGAGGCCCACAGACGTCTACAACGTAAATGCCGCCACCCACCTTGAGACATGACTTATAAGGTCTCACTTTTTTTACAGTACAACGGCTGCCCCACCCTTCAAACTGAAATGCATTAATGCTTCACGGCAGAAATAGGCGGGGTGGTGGTACCTACCCGTGCGGAGTCACAAGACGTCCTACCACCAGTAATTTCAATAATAAATTCAATTTCTCATGGTAATTTGCAGCAAAACCGGTTAGAATCTATACTTAGTCTGGCCATAAATACCGTACAATTAAAAATAAATAAAATATTACATTTTAATTTAGAATCTGTCATTTTTTATGATTGCTCATTGAGTTTTCTCATTTTGGCGCCAATACATTGTACAATATTTTGCGATATTAAAATGGAGTGGGGTGATAAAGAGAACCAAATCCCTGTGATTGCATTACACAAAGTAGGTATAAAGCCAAATGCAATTTTTAAAACTCTCCATACGCTTGGTATTAGTAAAATGTTTATGTACCGGGCTATTAATAGATGCAATGAGACCTCCTCTATTTGTGACAGAAAAAGATCTGGCCGTCCACGTAGTGTTCGTACGAAAAAGGTGGTCAAAGCAGTAAGGGAAAGAATTCGAAGAAATCCCGTCCGAAAGCAAAAGATTTTATCTCGGGAGATGAAGATAGCACCTAGAACCATGTCGCGTATTTTAAAAGATGACTTATAACTTGCAGCCTATAAGAGACGTACTGGTAATTTCTTAACTGATAATTTAAAAGAAAATAGGGTGGTAAAATCGAAACAACTACTGAAGCGGTACGCAAAGGGAGGTCATAGAAAAAATTTGTTTACGGATGAGAATTTTTTTACAACTGAGCAACATTTTAACAAACAAAATGACCGTATTTATGCTCAAAGCTCTAAGGAAGCTTCCCAATTAGTCGACAGAGTGCAACGTGGGCACTATCCGACTTCAGTGATGGTTTGGTGGAGTATTAGCTATGAAGGAGTGACTGAGCCATACTTTTGGGAAAAAAGTGTCAAAACGTCGGCACAAGTGTATCAAGATACCATTCTTGAGAAGGTAGTGAAGTCCCTTAACAACGCCATGTTCAATAATCAAGAATGGTCCATCCAGCAAGACTCGCCGCCAGGTCATAAAGCTCGGTCTACGCAGACTTGGTTGCAAACGAACGTTTCGGACTTCATCAGAGCTGAAGACTGGCCGTCGTCTAGACCCGATCTTAATCCGTTGGATTATGATTTATGGTCAGTTTTAGAGAGTACGGCTTGCTCTAAACGCCATGATAATTTGAAGTCCCTAAAACAATCCGTACGATTGGCAGTGAAAAATTTTCCCATGGAAAGAGTGCGTGCTTCTATTGATAACTGGCCTCAACGTTTATAGGACTGTATTGCAGCCAATGGAGACCACTTCGAATAAGCTTTTTATACTTTAAATTGTTTTATATTTATGTATTAAACTAACACACTGTAAAAGTAATAAGTGTTATTTGCAACAGAATGTTTTTTTCCTTTGTAACAGTATTTATGGCCAGACTAAGTATAATAATATGTATAATAAAAACGATGGTGTAGGTTTTAATTGGTACTATTTGAACAGCCGTTTTCGAAGTTGTTTCATTATCTATCATTTGAATGCATTCAAAAGTCGAATTATAATTGTAATAGGATTCACTTGTAACTTTATTCTCCTGTAATTTACTGAGTAGTGAATCGGGTGTCTGCGGTAACTGTAATTCTTGACTTCGAACTTTGTATTGTTCAAATTGGACAAAATTTTCCGCATTGCTAATTTGGTTTGTTCTTGTCGATTATTTTTTGTGGTCTCGATTCTTTCGCTTCGTGTTGAACCCATGAAGAAGTAATGGTATACAGCTAAGTTGAAGTACATTAATTTGTTTGTCGTTTACAAGTAATTTAATATCTGCGAGCATGTGTCGACGCCAAGAATGGATCACTCCGTTTATGAAACAGGTACAATTTCAAAACTAGCATGCATTTTACTGTTAATCGGATAAGCTGGGCAGTCGCCGGGCAGTTAAAATGGAGTGAGCGCTGAGAAGTATTATATTTTGAAAACGCCACGTCAGAGCCAATTTCCTTTTAGCTACATATAGATTACTAGCTTTTGCCCGCGACTCCATCCGCGTGGAATAGTTACTTTGGCATAACGCTAAATTTTACCACCTCTTTATTTACGTAGAAAGTGAAGATATTTTTGAATTGTAGAATGTTAAGGAGCTGTTTAAACGCTTATTTTGAAACATTCTTTATTGGTGTTTCACTTGTATTAGTCTTACCGTGATGTCATATAGCCTTCCTCAATAAATGGGCTATCTAAAACTGAAATAATTTTTAAAATCAGACCGGTAGTTTCTGAGATTAGCGCGTTCAAACAAACAAACAAACTCTTCAGCTTTATAATATTAGTATAGATGTCCTTGACAGAACACGACAATAATTCATGCATTGACGATTTTGCTTTGAGTTTTGTGCGCGGTTTATGATGTCATTAATATGACAGACATGACTTTTGCATGGTACTGTAATATGTAGTTTTAATCTTCACACAATTAATCCTTAATATTAATATGGCCATCATATGACCTGGCTCGGTTGTTTGAAATATCACTTGTTGCGCATACATTTTGAAGAAGAAAATAAGCATAAATTTTATTTTTTTAAGTAACAGAGCAGTCTCATCAGCAAACTATTTGTTTGGTAAATAGTGGATTATTTTTAACTTCTTCACTTAACTTTAACTTGAAGGTTAGCTCATAACTAGCTTTTGAGCTATCAGATATAGAAAATGCGGTTGTTGGAAGTTTTCAAATTCCGTCAAAAAAAGTCTATTCAAAAAACATGGCATAGCATTAGATGAAGATCTTTTTTTTATTGTCCATGTAGGCAAACAAGCATGCGGGCCACCTGATGGTGAGTGGTTACCGTCGCTCATAGACATCAGCAATAACAGGGGCAGAGCTAAGCCTCATCATCATCAGCCCACAGTCGTCCACTACTGGACATAAGCCTCTCCCAATCTATACCATTGAGCCCGATCTTCAGCTATCCTCATCCACTTCTTGCCCAGCCTCTGCCTACCGTAAATACATCTACCGTACTCACCTACCGTAAATATATAATATCTAACATAGTTATAATACTTGATGACTATGAAATATCGAGAAACCGCGAGTAACTGGATATTTGAGTTAGTTCCTACTGCCCTATAATGTCTGCATTGATTTTACTAATTTTTTGTCTTCCTTTTTATTTTTTATTGCATAGATAGGTAGACGTGCTCACAGCTCACCTGGTGCTAAATGGTTACCGAAGTCCATAGACAACTACAACGTAAATGCCGCCAGCCACTTGGAGATATGAGTTCTAAGGTCTCAGTAAAGTTACAACGGCTGTCCCACCCTTCAAACCGAAACGCATTACTGCTTCACGGCAGAAATAGGCAGGGTCGTGGTACCTACCCGCGCGGACTCACAAGAGGTCCCAGCACCAGTGAAATAACTAATTTACCTAAACTAACAATTCTTTGGCCTCAGTGCTTTGCGGTCTCATGTGTGGTTCTGAACATGATATCGTATGGCCTTACGATCGGATACAACGCCTCGCTGTTCTCCGAACTCAGGAAGACACAAGAGATACCACTAGACATAGACTCTGAATCGTGGCTAGGTATGATAGATTTAATATTTCAGTCCAGGCTACTATATAACTGCTAATGAAGTTCACATCGGACTAAAATTTATTCAAACTTTGTTTTTAATGGCAAGAAGCGTTATGTGTACCTAGATATCGCGACCCTACCTATTTCTACTGCGGCACAGTTATGCGTTCCGCCTTGATGGGTTCGATAGTCGTAACACAACACAATTCACTAGAGTTTATGTCCTAAAATGGCTCACGTTTCTTTGTTTCGGTAAATTCTTTATCATCAGATGCGCTTCTTCACGCCACTAGTGCATTAATAAATTTCTAAGGTCACGTAGAAGAGGAGGAAGAACATTGAGGAGTCCCAACGCTGAACAGGGTATTTTATAACCATTTATAAAATTCAATAGGAATAATACAGAAAAAAAAAACATTAGTCTGTTTTCGCTCTGGCTACACTTATATTACTGGGATCATGCAATGAAGTGTTGGAAAAAAATCTGGTTAGCATGTGATTCTTGCTCAGATGCAGCCCAAACATTACATAGTAATGTAACTAGTAACGATATCTCCTTCAAGAAAAAATAGCCTTAAAGTTTATTACGTCATATAGGTATTAAATTGTAACCGGCTGTAATAATATTTGTTTTTATTCCATTTGAAGCATCCATCTTTATATTTACCTATTGCCATTATGCCATATAGTTCTATTGCCATTGTCAATAAAGACACAGTAAAAATAATGAAAACAATAGATGATAAAAATAATAAAATTGTCGAAGACATTTTATTTTTTCCATTCAGTATGTATTGCATAATGTAGTTTTTACTTTTATTTCAGCATCTTTGATTGGATTATCGCTTTGCGTCGGATCTATCGTCTGTTCACTAATTATGGAAATCATCGGTCGAAAACCAGCTATCATCATGAGTTCAGTATTCACAATCTGCGGATGGATATCGTTCAGTTTAGCTTCAACTTTTCCTGTTCTTTTAATCGGAAAAATAGTTCAAGGAATATCCGTTGGAATAGGAACTACAATGGGATGTATTTTAGTTGCAGAATACAGTAGTCCTAAATACAGGGGATCTTTCATAGCAGCAATGCCGCCTGCTATGTTAATCGGCGGACTAATTGCACATTCTTTTGGATTATTTTATGGTTGGCACGATTTATCCACGATACTGATATTTTTTTCTTTGCCCGGCTTAATAGTAGCCGTATTGTCGCCCGAATCACCAAGTTATCTGGTAGTTAAAGGCCGTTACGACGAATGTAGAAAAGTATTTCGATGGCTGAGAGAAAAAAGCGAGGATGACGAAGTTGAAGCAATGATTAAAACTCATATGATACTAAAACAATCCAAGAAGAACCAAGAACTTAATTTTTTTAAGTTAATTAAGATCAAATTTATATATGTTGTCACGGCAGTCAAAAAGAGAGAATGTCGTATTCCAATCATTATTATGATGCATTTGAGTGCTATAAATCAGTTCTGTGGTAGTATTGTACAAGAAATGTATGCTTTAGACATTCATAATGCACTATATGGCACTGATACTTACATGTTCAAAGTTATCACGTCTCTAGACCTTCAAAGAATTATAGCTACAGTTTCAGCCATATACATAACTAGCAAACTAAAGAGGCGTTCCATGTTATTAATATTTGTAGCTCTGACTGTTATCGCGAATGTCTGTATAGCTGGATATATTTATGCCAGACATCACGATCTTGTATGGCTTGACCATATGGCAATAGGTATATTTTTGCATCATTTTCACACTTTTGTCATCGGTACTGGTTGCTTGCCATTAGCGTTTATAATCGGTGGTGAAATTTACCCACTAGCAGACAAAGGCTTCTGCGTAACTATTTGCAATGTATTATCTGCCGCGTACATGTTTGTCAATATTAAATCTGCTCCTTATTTATTCACGTTGATTGGTGTTGACGGGGCATATTGCTTGAATGCCTTAATTCTTGTTTATAGTTTAATTGTGATTATGGTTATGCTCCCGGAAACTAAAAATAGAACTCTCCAAGAAATCGAAGATGAGTTTAGAGGATTTGCTGTTGTTGGTAATCACGAAGATGCATTCGATTTAAGGTGTAATGAAATTGAGGATAATGAAAATCTATGATTTTGATTTTAATTGATGTTGTTATTTATGATATCTATATGTAAAAATGAATTGCTGTTTGTTAGTCTCGCTAAAACTTGAGAACCGCTGCACCGATTTGGCTCATTTTGGTCTTGAATTATTTTTGGAAGTCCAGAGAAGGTTTAAAAGGTAGATAAATATGAACTTGCTCGGAATTAAATAAAAAAAACAATTTTGTTTTCCCTTTGATGTGTGGGGACAAAATGAATTCCTTCTGTTTGTTTTAAGTTTATTTTATACAAAAGTTTAGATCTTTTGTTTATCGATTCAGGCACTACGAAGTCTGCCGAGTCACCTAGTGATAAATAAAAAATGCGTGATTTCTTTTGAAGTGAAACTTCTTTAAGCGCGTTGAGAGTAAAATTTAACTCGCGACAGATTCGTTACGGCTAGAGAGAAAAGATACAATTTAGGAAGAGTGAGAGTGAGAAAATAAACAGAGCGTCTCGCGAACCACTCGACCGTGAAGAGAGGGAAATGACAAAGCGAGTTAAGTCGTTTCTATTGTACACAGCATTCCCTATTACAAGAGAAATTTGATTTGGATGAAAAATGAAGAAAACCACCGCAAAAGAAGTTTCACTTCTTTCACCTTCTAGCACCAAGTTGCTCTCGCGCTTTTTTTTTTAAATTAGGATTATAAAATTTCATTATTATATTTTATTTTCGTCGTGTCAGAGACAACGTTACGAAACTGTAGAGTTGTGTAGAGATATGATATGTAATATATGGTAATGCAATGATTGTTTCTTATTGCTAATACTCGGGCAGTGTTCAATCTAAGGATTGTCTATTGTTTTAATATTTTTTTATTTTTTATTTATTTTTTTATGTACACACAGAAAACAAGACACAGTACAGAGTAATAGGAAAATTATGTACAAAGGCACAATATTCAATTAACTAGAACAGTTACTGAAGTTTAATAAAAATTACTTGAAAACTTTAAAGCTTATTTTAATGTCAGCAATTAAGTGATCGAAGAAACCAAGTGAGTTTGAAATTTTGTTCCACCCTGTACCCTTTTTCTGCTACTATTTTCTTGTAACATAGTAAGACCACAAAATAACATTCAACAATAAATATTGTACTTTCAATAACTAGACTGACTCGGTGGCACAATGGTGAGTGTCGGTCTACGAGGGTCATGGGTTAGATTCTCACATCGGGGAAACATGTGTTTTTTTTTGTTGCTTAGATAGGTGGTCGAGCTCACAGCCGACCTGGTGTTAAGTGATTACTGGAGCCCATAGACATCTAGAACGTAAATGCGCCATCCACCTTGAGATATAAGTTCTAAGGTCTCAGTATAGTTACAACGGCTACCCCACCTTTCAAACCGAAACGCATTACTGCTTCACGGCAGAAACAGGCAGGGTGGTGGTACCTACGCGCTCAGACTCACAAAAGGTACTACCACCTATAAAAACAGGTTTGGTTGCTCTTTATCTAGGTTTTAATAGCTATATACTTACATATATAAACGGATATAAGTAAGCATGCTGTGCCGTCTTCGCAGTAAAATTTAAATGTGACATTTTACAACGCCAATCGGTCACCACGTTCGGATTCATAAAATGACAGAGCGAAGCTACATCGCATGCACGTCTTATCACAAATGATACCATCCTAATTGTTATTAATTATCTATAATAAAATTACCCAACATTTAAAATGGAAAAACAAATGGAAATTTTACTCTCCAAAATAAACGAAAAGTTTAATGAACAAACAATAACATTAACAACAGCAATAACGAAAAATGTTATGGAGGCCCTGGATGAAAAGATGAAAATATTAATGGAAGAAAATAATAACCTTAAAAGCAGGGTCACAGATTTGGAACAAAAAATAAAATTTTTAGAGAAGGAAAAACGAAAAAATAACTTAATTCTTTTCGGCATTGAAGAAAAGGGAAAGACAGAAACAGAGTTAGTAGACTTTGTTAGAGAAACTTTAGTGGAATCAGGAACACATTTAGACAGCCAAGAAATAAGTTACATTCAGAGAATCGGAACGCAGTCTGATAGGAACCGTCCAGTTTTAATATCCCTGACAACAATTTGGAAAAAACATATTATTTTGAAAAACAAGCGAAACCTTCCCACAAATGTATACGTTAAAGAAGACTTCCCTAAAGAAGTTCTCGAAATACGCAAACAGTTACAGCCAAAAGTGGATACAGAAAGAAAAAACGGAAATATAGCGTTTATAAAATACGACAAGCTAATTGTGAAAAAATCAATCAACACCAACCGTGAAAAAAGGAAACGAGAAATAACAGGGTCACCAACTACTTCTTCGCAGAAAAAGTTTAATACGAAGAAGACCCTAAAAGTAAAGGCACCGTTAAGCACGACACGAGAAGTACCAAATATATTTTTATCTGCAACACGCGAAAGATCTGTCTCCATGTCAGAGATGCCAAAAAACAAGTAAAGGCCCTGTCCAACCGGAACCAATACCAAGATACAACATCAAATATAACTACAAGAAAAGCTTTAAATTACTCCCCAAGCCGGTTGGTCACCGTGGGGAAAGTCGACCACCACCCTCCAACAAATCTGACAACTAAAATAAATTCAAAAATAAAAAAGAGATACGAAAAAGAAGTAGTTTTTACCTATGTACACTAAACACACGAACCTTGAGAACACCTGAAAGTATACAAGAGCTTGAGCTTGCTATCGAAAACATCAAATGGGACATTTTGGGCATAAGTGAGATGCGCAGAATAGGAGAAGGCATAGAAGAGAGAGGCCGTTATATTATGTACCACAAAGGCGAAATCGCTGGACAGAGAGGAGTAGGATTTTTGGTTAAGTTAAAACNAGGAGCCAATCAGGCGCATAACGCATTTCGTGTGACATGCTAGTACGATTTTGATTGGCGCGCGCACGCATCACGCAATCAGGAGCCAATCAGGCGCATAACGCATTTCGTGTGACATGCTAGTACGATTTTGGTCCCCATAATTTTCATACCCCGGGCCTATATATGTAAATCGATTCTAAAGGAGTAAACTCCAACAATCCAAGAAGAATCAAGAACTTAATTTGTTTAAGTTAATTAAGATCAAATTTATATATGTTGTCACGGCAGTCAAAAAGAGAGAATGTCGTATTCCAATCATTATTATGATGCATTTGAGTGCTGTAAATCAGTTCTGTGGTAGTATTGTACAAGAAATGTATGCTTTAGACATTCATAATGCACTATATGGCACTGATACTTACATGTTCAAAGTTATATGTTGTTATTTATGTTATTCGCGGCGGTCGCGTTACTAGCGACCCGCCCTCGCTTCGTTTCGGAAACATTAAATGTTATTATTGATAGATGAGTCCCGCGGTTATTGTCGTAACGCGAGCGAAGCCGCGGGGTGAAGCTAGTCTAAAAAAAGTAGCCTAAGTTACTCTTTATATCATCAGCTACCTATCAGTGAAAGTACCGTCAAAATCGGTCCAACCGTTCCAGAGATTAGCCGGATCAAACAGACAGACAGACAGACAAAAATTGTAAAAAATGTTATTTAGGTGTATATATATTCATATGCATGTAGTAAAAAGCGGCTATTTAAATATTAAAAACAGACACACCAATTTCATTTATATGTATAGATGATAAATAAAACATACGTGATTTCTTTTGAAGTGAAACTTCTTTAGGCATGTTGAGAGTAAAATATAACTCGCGACAGATTTGTTACGGCTAGAGAGAAAAGATACAATTTAGGAAGAGCGAGAGTGAGAAAATAAACAGAGCGTCTCGCGAACCACTCGACCGTGAAGAGAGGGAAATGACAAAGCGAGTTAGTCGTTTCTCTTGTACACAGCATTCCCTATTACAAGAGAAATTTGATTTGGATGAAAAATTAAGAAAACCACCGCAAAAGAAGTTTCACTTCTTTCACCTTCTAGCACCAAATTCCTCTCGCGCCTTTTTTTTCAATTAGCATTATAAAATTTCATTATTATATTTTATTTTCGTCGTGTCAGAGAAAACGTTACGAAACTGTAGAGTTGTGTAGAGATATGATATGTAATATATGGTAACGCAATGATTGTTTCTTATTGCTAATACTCGGGCAGTGTTCAATCTAAGGATTGTCTATTGAAATTTTTTTAATATTCAATTAACTAGAACAGTTACTGAAGCTTAATAAAAATTACTTGAAAACTTTAAAGCTTATTTTATAGTCAGCAATTAAGTGATCGAAGAAACCAAGTGAGTTTGAAATTATGTTCCGCACTGTACCCTTTTTGTGCTACTATTATCTTGTAACATAGTAAGACCACAAAATAACAATCAACAATAAATGTTGTACTTTCAATAAATCTAGACTGACTCGGTGGCGCAATGGTGAGTGTCGGTCCACGAGGGTCATGGGTTAGATTCTCACATCGGGGAAACATGTGTTTTTTTTTGTTGCTTAGATAGGTGGACGAGCTCACAGCCGACCTGGTGTTAAGTGATTACTGGAGCCCATAGACATCTAGAACGTAAATGCGCCATCCACCTTGAGATATAAGTTCTAAGGTCTCAGTATAGTTACAACGGCTACCCCACCTTTCAAACCGAAACGCATTACTGCTTCACGGCAGAAATAGGCAGGGTGGTGGTACCTACGCGCTCAGACTCAAAAAAGGTACTACCACCACCTATAAAAACAGGTTTGGTTGCTCTTTATCTAGGTTTAAATAGCTATATATTTACATATATAAAATGTGACATTTTACAACGCCAATCGGTCACCACGTTCGGATTCACAAAATGACAGAGCGAAGCTACATCGCATGCACATTACATCGATTACGAACGGGAGCCGAGCAACACGCAACCAAACCTAAAAGACTCAAACATAACCGAATTCGAAGACCGCGGGTGAGGTTCAAATATAGGCCAAGTGAATCTAGAACAGTGCACGCGACCAGGAGCTTCGTATGGCAGTCCCAGGTGCGTATGTGAAATTACTCATATTTTGAATCCTAGACGTACATCGAGGACTTAGGATACCTTGCTGGGCAAGTTTCGTATCCATCCCCGACCAGGGATCGATTGGTGTGTCCAGACCCAGTGTGTGTGTGTCGCGAAGATAACCGGCTGAAACAGAACTACCGAGCCGGGGATCAACGTCTCACATACAATGTCAGTCTCCGGATACCACTTGGTATCACATAACCGTATGTGACTTGTCTTCGGGTATGATTATTAATTCAATATATTTATTGAAATCTTATTAAATATGCAATATTTTTCAGAAAAAGGATTGAAAATACAACTTAAAAAAACACAATACAAAAAATTGCCAAACAAGCCACAAGTAACCAGGGCTCCAGAGTGAGAAAGCTCCCCACAATACACGCCTTATCTAACCGATACCGGCTAACTGCCCTAACTTACTAAGGATAGCTTTTTTATATATAATAATAGGAGGATAACGAACCTCTTAAGAGGCTCCCACACCTAGGAAGCGCGCGGGGTAGGTGGAATTAGACGGTCCGCAAATATTGGGAGCGATCCGCGGGCCCAAGGGATGGAATTTAGGACCCTACCCACCAAACGATTCCGTTGCACTCTTTCACCCGACGCCGATCTCCGTCCGGGGTCAGAACCCGGTCAGAGTAGGGGAGTTCCCGCGTCTAATACTACTCCAGTCTAATACTACTTTAATACTAACTAGACTCGAGGGCCCACTCCGAGTACGCCCGACTGACAGGTCGTCGAGGTGATCCTCGATGAACAACGACGTCGGCTCTGTGATACGGCGACCTGTCAGGCTGCTCGGGTGATGCCGGTGGTGTTCTTGATACCCCGCTGGCTCAGAACCAGCCTACTGGGTCAGAACGCCATATACCATCGACCGACTTGCTCTTCCTCAGTATGTTCGGTGACGACAGCGACGACGGCAACGCGAACCGTAGCCACCGACGCGTCATCCCATCCTCCTGGTGCCAGTGCGCTAGAGTAGCGGGAGCGTGCGGCACAGCCACGACCCCCTCCGGTCACCTCTTAACCATCACCGTGAGGAGACTGCCTAACTAAGGAAAACTGCCCTAACCCAGCTGGATAACAAAAGTTTCTCAAAGTGTTATCACTAAATAAATCTCACTGGCGACAATGGGCCTATCTGTGATCATAGATCGGTCCCAGTAGAACGTAACTGACCATCTTCAAGAACCGGTTGATCTTGGTATTAGTGTTAAGGTACCACAGAAACGACAACACCATATTTCAGGGCAAGTTGTTGAAGGACTAGCCACTTGATCGTGTCCATGCAAGTACTCGCCATTAGCAAAACGCGAATAGCCAGAGACTTTAGAGTGGTGGTACCTACCCGTGCGGACTCACAAGAGGTTCTACCACCAGTCACAAGAGATCCTACCACCAGTCAGTATATTTCTCTTCCAAAAAAGATACAAAATATTTAGTTAAGTACCATTCCCACCGAATCCTATACAGAAAAATAATTTAAATCTTGAAGTGTCAGTGATTATAGTCACATTTCGATCACCGACTTTTAAACTTGCCCTTTTTATGTAATTTAGTTGAAGCAGCCAGTAATTGCGCATAGGGTCCCGCAACTTATGCGCTATAGTATTATGGTTTGCTCACCGATTTTCGAGTCCAGCTAATTCGAAGCAGTCGATCACAATATCACATCTCAAATGATTCGAAAAGCTGTTCAAACTGTTTTTGATGGAATTTAAATAAGCGTTGCTTAATAATAACAATGACGATTGCACGATGTGTTGCTACAATTATAGTACGTGTGTGCAATAGACTAAACTGATGCACATTTATTTGTTGTGAAAGTTTCAATTTGTACAGTTGTTTTAGAGTGTGTTCATAATATATCGTATAAATGCATTAAAATGTTGAAATATACTTGAGTCAAGTCATATACCCTTAAACACATAGTGTATTGTGAATCCGTATTGAAATGTTCATATCATCTCAGTATTTATGAATGTGTCTATTAATTATTATACCAATTAGACGAATTTGAATATTATTTTGTGCATACATTTCGTGTTTCATCAACCACACACGTCTTTCGACATTATAGTAACTAGTGATTAGTGTGAAGACAGAGATATTTCATTTGAATACAAAGAAGTTGTAAATGTATCGGAAAAATACGACAGAGTTTTATTTTATGTAGATGTTTGGACTGTGAGCATGTGTCGTTGCGAGCTAAGAGCCACACCGTTTGTGAAACAGGTATTTTTTTGGTTTTATACTTCATTTATATGTTTAAGGGAGATGAACGACAATCTAGCTGCTGTTGATGGATCATTGACGCTCACAAATTTATTTCTATCGAAGTCTGAAATCTCGATCGATGATACCAATACCTCAAACAATTCTGCTATTTCCAATACTTTTTTATTATTATTATTGAAAGATAGACCGGTGGCCTTATCAGTTTCACCAGGACAGGTGGCCGAGCAAAGGCTCAGTCAGGAGGAGTGGGATTTGCTAACAACTGCCCGAGGGCCTCCGACGGAGACCTAACAACTCAAGAGCAGCTGCTTTGCAAATGAATCTACTACCGGATCGGAATCGCGACCCGCTGAGAAAATCCGGCAAGAAACTCAGCGGGCTGATGCATGGGTTAGGTTGCACGTCGACCTCTTTGTCAAGTCTGTTCGCGATTTGTCTTGCCCACTGAGTTTCTCGCCGGATCTTCTCAATGGGTGGCGATTCCGATCCGTTAGTAGATTCTGCGAAGCACGACTCTTGTTAGGGCTAGTGTTAGCAAATTCAGGTTGAGACCGTGAGCTCACCTAACCATCGGCGCGTATCTGGAATAGCACCTCAGGCTACCAGCGAAAAAAAAAAGTTTATTTGTGATCTATTTGTATAAATTCAAAATGATAATGTCATATTTTACTTCCAGTGTTTTGCGGTCTCAAGTGTGGTTCTGAACATGATATCGTATGGCCTTACAATCGGATACAACGCCTCGCTGTTTTCCGAACTCAGAAGAACTCGAGAGATACCTCTAGATATACATTCAGAGTCTTGGTTGGGTATGACATATTTTATTCATTTCAACAAAATCAGTGTCATCGGAGGAATTATCACTGAACAGACATTCTTAGGTTTTCACTACAAAGTTGCAAACATAAAGGCAAAGATATTTAAACAGACAAGGACAAAATAGTTAAGCACAATGTATTTCTCAACTGATTTTCTTTTGTTTGTTAGTTGTCGAGCTTTAGTGTTGTCAATGTTTTTGGATATCTCCACTCTTTAGTTTTCAGTGATTATAGTCGAATTTATATCATTGAGCGAACACTACTTTTTTATGTTTCTAAAACTCAATGATTGAGGACAAATCCATGCTTGGATTTCGGATCCTCCCGATCCACTAACGGTGCTTTTAGGTACCTCAAGCACCGGTCATCGTTCTCGTCGAACCCGTTGCTTGCGACGAAGGGCTCGACGAGTAAATTAACCCTCAGACACTGCCCACTGAGTTTCTCGCCGGATCTTCTCGGTGGGTCCCGTTTCCGATCCGGTGGTAGATTCTGCGAAGCACGGCTCTTGCTAGGGTTCGTGTTAGCGACATTATCAGGTTTGTGCCCCGTGAGCTCACCTACTAGTTAAGGCAACGCTGATATAGCCTCTCAAGGCTATCAGCTTAGGAAGGAAAAAGAAAATCATGCTTGGTAGTTTTATATACGGAAAACGTAATTTTTATCTGTCTGTCTGTAGTCCGAGTAAAACGGTAGCTTACTACATACAGTTTATGAGCAATGACTAATTTGAAAAACAAAATCGGGAACCTAATTGATTCCAGTCATTGTTATTTGATGTATTTGTGTTTTATTTCAGCATCTCTGATCGGATTAATGCTTTTCGTTGGTTCTGCAGTCGGGTCACTGGCTATGGAAACCATCGGTCGAAAATACACCGTCCTCTTGAGTTCAGTATTGATGATTTGCGGGTGGATATCGTTCAGTTTAGCTTCATCTTTTCCTGTCTTGTTGATGGGTAAAATTCTTCAAGGAACATCCGTCGGAATCGGTACCAATATGGGAAGTATTTTATTGGGAGAATACAGCAGTCCTAGATACAGGGGATCTTTTATAGCAACTATACCTACTGCTTTGTTATTGGGAACCTTAATAGCACATATTTTTGCAATGTTTTATAGCTGGCATGATATATCGAAAATCCTACTCTTTTTCTCCATACCCGGATTAATTGCAGCTATATTTTCGCCAGAATCACCGAGCTTTCTGGTAACTAAGGGACGTTACGATGAATGCAGGAAGGTTTTCCGCTGGTTGAGAGGAACAGACGAGGATGACGAACTCGAAACAATGATCAAAACTGACATGATAGCCAAAGCAACTAAAAAGATCAATAAATATCACTTAACGAAGATAATCAAGAACAAAGTGACATACTTGTTGACAGCTTTTAACAAGAGAGAATTTCGTATTCCCGTAATTATCACGATGCATTTGACGGCTATAAATCAGTTCTGCGGATCTCTGATAAACGACATGTATGCTCTAGATGTCCACACCGCGTTGTACGGCACTAATGTCTACATGTTCAAAGTAATGACGTCACTAGATACGCTAAGACTCCTTGCGGCTCTGTCAACTGTTTATATAACCAGAAAATTGGAGCGGCGTTCCATGCTACTAATATTTGTGTCCTTGAATATATTCGTCAATCTGTGCATAGCTGGGCACATTTTCGCAAGAAAACGTGATCTTCTGCCTGCTTCACATATGGTAATAGGTATCATTCTGCATCATTTTCAGTGCTTCATTATGGGGACTGGATCTTTACCGTTGTTATTTATACTTAATGGCGAAATATTTCCTTTAGAAAATAGGGGTTTATGTGGAATGATTTCTAGTATATTCTGCTCTATTTTAATGTTCGTGAACATCAAATCAGCTCCGTATCTGTTCTCCTTGCTCGGTGTTGACGGGACGTTATGTTTTTATGCTTTAATTCTTGTTTATAGTTTAATTGTTACTTTTATTGTTCTACCGGAGACTAAAGACAAAACTCTTCAAGAAGTCGAAGATGAGTTAAGAGGATGCACTACTGTCTATGTAGATCGTGAAGAAGCGTTTGAATTAAAGTCAGGAATTAATAATTTAGAAAGTTGTTAATAATTAAAAGTCAGGTATTTTATTATGTAACTATTGAAATAAAAAACGCTGTGGTTTTTTTTTTTTGCTGAAATTTTTGATTTATTGCAATGGTCGAATAATATATTGCATTATGCGTCTGTCTTTTGAACCTTAAAATTGTGGCTACTTTTATTTATAGGTCGATACTTCCAGCCTATGTTTTGAAGTGGGACAGAAAACCGCCCCAAGTTAGGTGCTATCTTTTTTCACAACTCTGTCTAGTACATAGTGTCTTAGTTTGCTATGTAATCCAAGGCTACCATTACTGTAGACGCTTATTATCTTTACCACTACAATGTCACTGTACTATATAGTTGTAAGAGTGTAGGATTATTATTTGTTAACACTGATACGTAAATAATTTTCTTTTGTTTTATTTTACATATTTATTCATTGAATGAAACAGACAGTCTTATTATAGAGTGTGTATTGTACATAATACGAACTGTAACCCCTTTTCATAACAATAAAGAAGGTTTTTTAAAAAAAAAATCAGAGGTATCAAGGGACACCCGGATGGAACGAAGTTCCTTTCGATTAATTAGTGAAGGAATTGTAATTTTTTTTTAAAGTTATAATAATAAATTACGACATTATGAAGAAGAAAAAAACAATACTATGAACTAAATTACTATTGTTGAAACGCTATCTCGAGAAACTGTAGTCATTACACGGACCAATCGGATACGAGCAATGTCACGCGATAAGCGCCTACACGTTGATTGGTCAGAATGACGGATCTAAAAAGTGTCGTGACAACTTTTCGTAAGAATTTTTTCCGTCTAGCCCCCTTTCACAACGCGCGATGAGGAACTTCGTTCCAATATTTTTCATAGCAATATATTTGCGACGATACATTTTGGATGGTTAGCGTGGTATGGACATGTGATGCGTAGAGAGGTGATGCATGTGACTAAGAGATCTATGGAAATGGTAGTGCAAGGTAGCGGGGGACGAGGTCGACCGAAGAAGACATGGATGGAGTGTGTGAATGACGATATGAGAGAGAGAGAGGAGTGAGTGTTGAGATGACGGCTGATAGAAGAGAATGGAATAGAAAAAATCGCTGTGCCCATCCCACCTAGTGGGATAAGGTTGAGATAAAAAGAAGAAGAACAATATGATATATAATTCATATTCATATTAATTAAATATATAATTGCCATGAACATACAACGAAATAATTCAAGAATGCAAAATTAGATTATTAGTATTATACAATAGTGACGATATGAAACTTCTGAAAATACAACTAACCAAACACAAAATTACAATTATAAAAAAAAAATTGATCGTCACATATAAACCTTCAATTAATGGAACTAAAGTGCCATGATCTGTGCGATTTATCATCTGTAGGTGGAAAGCGAGGGTTCTTAAATGCCAATAAAGTTGGGCTTAGTTAGTTAGCCCCTATCACCAATCATTATCATCTTCTCATCTCTGTAGTGTGCAGCTCGCCTAACCTTATATTTGTAACTGCACACATTAAATTATGACAGTATTACACGAATTGTCGACTTGAACAGTTCTCTTTTATTTTGCCTACGTCACTCCAATACATCTGATCACCTCATCACTACATAAATCAATTATCATCGCCTCAAACCACAGCACTTCATCACCTTCTAATAATAGCCAGCAAGCATAATCATCACCCCTGCCTCGTTAAGCAGGAAGTCCAAGCCCGGGCAAAGGGAATGCCCCGAGGCCCGATCCGTGCCCCCGTAAGGGGATACGAAGACCCAACGTGCGTGCTTTATTGAGATCGTTAAAAAAAAAAGAGAAAACTCGCACTTAGCACACTGGAGTGTTAGTGTTAGGCCCCGTACCCTTAAAAATACGAAAGAAAGCGTACGTAACTTTATGCTACACATTTGTTCCAGGTGTGTCTTTGTTGTACGGATGCTTCTGTAAAACTATGCTATTGTAATTTTTAAGGCGTACTATACGAGTATTTAAAGAATAAATGCTCAAGAACATTGCATGTTAAATAAATTACTCTGGAATTGAATGCACCGCTCGGAGCTGAATTCGTATGGATCCAGAGCGAGAAACCTCCTCACAATACGTGTCGTATTGATAATGACCACTATTTTCGTTAGGCCTTTAACCTGAATTGCCAAAGCTTGTCAAAGTGTCTGTCGGAAGTTTACGTCATCAAATCGTGCGCCAACCACTGAAGTAATGGCGCCAACTCAACTGTTGGAGCAATAATAGTTGAATCAACACGCCACATGGTGAAGTCGTCGTGGCCTAAAGGATAAGACGACGCACTCGTATCTGACAATGCACCGAGTTTCGAATCCCGCAGGCGGGTACCAATTTTTCTAATGAAATACATACTTAACAAATGTTCACGATTGACTTCCACGGTGAAGGAATAACATCGTGTAAAATAAAAATTAAACCCGCAAAATTATAATTTGCGTAATTAGTGGTGGTAGGACCTTTTGTGAGTCCGCGCGGGTAGGTACCAACACCCTGCCTATTTCTGCCGTGAAGCAGTAATGCGTTTCGGTTTGAAGGGTGGGGGCAGCCGTTGTAACTATACTGAGACCTTGGAACTCATATCTCGAGATGGGTGGCGGCATTTACGTTGTAGATGTCTATGGGCTCCGGTAACCACTTAATTTCAGGTGGGCCGTGAGCTCGTTCACAAATCTAAGCAATAAACAAGTATCGGGGGTCAGCTCTTCATTTTCTATCAATTTCTCCTTTCCTGCCTTCACCAGGTTCTCGTCATGAGGAATCGTGATATCAACCAACACCGATCGACATGCAGACCGATCTATTATCACAATAGCAGACTTATTAACGATAATACAGTACCAATAAGTGTAACATGATTATTTTCAAGATCCGGTTGAGGTTGGTATTGGCAATAGAGTAATCGAGTATTAGAGTAATCACAATCGAAAAAAAAACATATTCTAGAACAAGTTGTTGATGGATTATTGCGTTCACTGCGAAGAAGGACCCCTTTGTCATGGCGCCGCAATTCCAAGGAGTATCCGTGCAACCTTCCGAGAGTATCGGGATACTTGGGGTCGACATTTCGAGCGATGTCCAGTTTCGGAGTCATTTGGAAGGCAAAGCCAAGTTGGCGTCCAAAATGCTGGGAGTCCTCAACAGAGCAAAGCGGTACTTCACGCCTGGACAAAGACTTTTGCTTTATAAAGCACAAGTCCGGCCTCGCGTGGAGTACTGCTCCCATCTCTGGGCCGGGGCTCCCAAATACCAGCTTCTTCCATTTGACTCCATACAGAGGAGGGCCGTTCGGATTGTCGATAATCCCATTCTCACGGATCGTTTGGAGCCTCTGGGTCTGCGGAGGGACTTCGGTTCCCTCTGTATTTTGTACCGTATGTTCCATGGGGAGTGCTCTGAGGAATTGTTCGAGATGATACCGGCATCTCGTTTTTACCATCGCACCGCCCGCCACCGGAGTAGAGTTCATCCATACTACCTGGAGCCACTGCGGTCATCCACAGTGCGTTTCCAGAGGTCTTTTTTGCCACGTACCATCCGGCTATGGAATGAGCTCCCCTCCACGGTGTTTCCCGAGCGCTATGACATGTCCTTCTTCAAACGAGGCTTGTGGAGAGTATTAAGCGGTAGGCAGCGGCTTGGCTCTGCCCCTGGCATTGCTGAAGTCCATGGGCGATGGTAACCACTCACCATCAGGTGGGCCGTATGCTCGTCTGCCTACAAGAGCAATAAAAAAAAAAAAAAAAAAAAACTTGGGTTTTTCTATACTCGCTATAAGCAATATATTTCCTCATTAATTCCTCAAGTCTTATGCCGAGTGGCAGTATGGACCCTGTGATATTTATGGCCAACAGTGACCATTTAATACCAGGCCGGCCGTAAGTTCTTTCGACCATCTAACTAAAAAACCTCGACCTCACGTAAAAGTTTAATTATAATACCATTGTCCCGAGAACACGTTGTACACTAAACTGATATTGCATTATAAATGAGAGTGGAAACAAACAAACAAAGTAACAAATAAAACCTTGTCCTGTAATTTAAGTTGACAGTGTAGAATAAACACGAATATTTCTCTGAAGTCTAACTTTAAGCCAATGCGTACTGAGACGCAAGTGGCTGTAACAAAGCCTTGTGAGCAAAACTCACCTGTTGTTTAGCACTTTTTGGGCTTGCCCGGGTAGGTGCAAGAAACCGTGAAGTGTCCTCCTAGGTGTATTTTTTTATTGGCATTGTCAAACATACGACTTACCTGACGGAAAACACCGTCGCACAGCAAATCCGCTGTCTACGGTAATTATGCATAGAATTTTGGCATCCTTGCAGTAGCCGAGTGAGCTATTCTGGTCAATACCACTCGAGAATTTAGGTTATTTGTCTACCACTGACTTCCACCACTTTAACTTCTGTGAATCCGTAAGCTACAGCGACGATCACCGGAAAAGACTATGATAAAGTTCAGGCTAGCCAAGATAACGCTAATTTGGATTGGATCACCACTGTGGAGCGGATTGCCTGATGATTTGTTTACAGCATTTTTTCTTGATATCCGTAACTAGTTCTCTAAATTCTGAACGGTATTTATCTCTAGTCTGTCTTATGCTCCGACAGTCACAGTCTGGTTTGCAGATACTACTATCACGTGAGGCGGTAGCTATGATAGAACAGATATTTGGAAAGATAAGAATCGCGTTAACGGCATTTTAAAGATGAGCTCGTGTACAAGTTTCAAACAGTGCAATTCCGACTCGACACTCTAAACATGTCCTTATGGATCCATCCGATTAACTAACTAGACGTCTTTAGCTCTAACTCGTCGAAGAGCTCACCGTGAAACCTAGGCAATGACGTCAGTCCGTTGAGTTTCTCACTGGATCTTCTCAGATAGCTATGCTATGTAGCTAGCTGTGACATTAGTTGAAACACTGTCAATGAAGGAGACGATAGAACATGCAGCCTTTGTGTCATAGAAGGCCCCAAAACGCCGCGAGCCAGCGAGAGTTCCAATCAATCGGACTTCCATGATGGTTACAATTTATGTAACACCGAACAATCACAGAAGCACTCTCAAACCTTCGATCAATTACTCGAGAACCTTTCATTTCGTTTGCGTAATATGAGCGTACGTAGCACGCTAAAGTGGGTCAAGTTGAATTGTGAAATTCTATCACCGCGAGGCAGATTCGCAGACAATGTAGTTATGAAATATAGATGGATCTTTGAATTGACTTTAAGCATACAGCAGCTTAATAGTGGCCAATGCTGATACTGGATCAAGAATGTAATACTCAGGGTCTATAATAGACTAATAATAAATCTATATATATAAAAATGATTTGCTGTTCGTTAGTCTCGCTAAAACTCGAGAACGGCTGGACAGATTTGGCTAATTTTGATATTGAATTATTTGTGGAAGTCCAGAGAAGGTTTAAAAGGTAGGTAAATATGAAAAAGCTCGGAATTAAATAAAAATAACAATTT